CCCTAATATATCCCTTATGCCAGATATTTTAAATAATTTTTTAAAAGGTATGACAGAGAAATCCCACATATAAAAGTTCAATAGAGGTTATGACTTGTATTTCAGTTGTCACCATGATTTGGAATCATTTCACTGTTGGAGATGCCAAAAACAGTCTCTCAGACAGAACACATTATTGAAGTCAAAGTGCAGAGACCACAACTACCCACCCTTCTTTACAAGTTGGGCAGTGGGCAGAAAAATGGACGGGCCAACGTCTGACCCATCAGGGAGCTTCCTGGTACCTGAGAGTTATTTACAAGAATAATAGGCGGTTCACTGTGGACAACCCATAACACCCTGGAATTCTGAGTGGGGAGAGTTCTGTTACATAGATTATTTATCTGGCAAAAAAAAAAAAAAGGATTTCTTTCCAGGATAAAAACTCCCTCTGGATAAAAAGGATAGTGAAGAAAGGAAGGCACAAAGCCAATACTAGCTGTACAAGAGCAGGGGTTCTGTCTGTTTTGTTCACTGCTTTGCTGAGAACAGTGCCTGGCATACATAGTGGGATCTCAATAAACATTCACTGAATGAGTGAATGAAGTTGGGGGGAGGAAGGAAGGGAGGGAAGGAGGAAGAGAAGGAGGGAGGAAAGCAGGAAGGCTGATTTTTCGGAAGCTTTAACAATAGAATTAAGTCTATGGGGAGAAAAAAATCAAATGAGCAATATGGATTCACAGAAACCTCAAAATAAAGATGAAATAAATATAACCTCAAGATTTCTTACATTATAAATGTACCCAAGAAAAACCTGCAAAGCTCAGGACAAAGGTCCCACGACTTTCACAGGTGTGTGCTCAATATTTAATCAGGCTGTTCTCCAGAAGCGTGTTTCTGCATGGCACCTCTTCTAGTACCCTGGGCATGAGGCAGGGGTGAAGCCATGACCGTGAAGGAGGCTTCTGCTAGGTCCCCTGCATGTGTGGCAGCATGCCCAGAGCCTTTTCACACACCGTACAGATGGAAAGAAATCATTTCGCCAATAGCCTTGCCTCCAGGAAGCATGGCATTTGAACCACTCCAAACCAGAGAAAGGGTCTATTTTTGTAAGTTCTCACTTGTACAAAAATTTGTCTCTAAATATGAAAATTTATTATCAAAAACACAGAAGAAAAAATTAAAAACAAATAAACGTGAGACTTTAGATAAGGCAGTCAATCCCCTTGTACATTAGTTTCCTCATCTTTGAAATGGCCATAAAAATAGTATCTACCTCATGTGACTGCTGTGAAGACTGAGCAATGAATATAAAGTACATGGCACAGTACCTGGTATACAGTAAGTGCTTGACAGAGCCGTTACTATCACAGAAGCTAAGCTTATTTTGCAAATAAAAGAGTAAGGCTTTCCTTGAGGTCTAAGCATTTCATCTTAGAGCACAGGTCTGGACTCTCTTAAGTCTTACCACGTTCTTAGTTCAAAGCTAATAAATGATCTGTGATTTACAAAACTCCTTGATGTTGCTAGATGTACTTCATCCTTCCTTTGAAGGTTGCTGGATGCATAAAGTTCCAACTGTGCACCTTCTCACTGTATGTGAGAACTATCTCAGGCTTCCTCAGTGGAAATGAATGTGCTATTTTTAAATTGGCCAGAAAATGACCAGACTAAACAAAATAATTGGCCAAACATGCTGGCCCCTGGCTTGACTGAGGGCAGAGATAGCAGGCAGTAAGTGTGGTATCTTGGACCAAATGCTAGAGGGAGTTAAGAAACTAGAGTTCAAGTGTGATTTTGCCACTTTTAGCTGGGTAAGCAAGCTCCTTTACCTCTCCTGGCCTCAGTTACCTCTTAATGGGGTATGTACTAGATTAACTCTAAAATTCCTTTTTAGCTCTTAAGACTCAATGATTCCATGGAAATGGTAAAAACCAAGAGGATGGTTGGCAGGAGTAAAGTGACTATAAAGATATGAGGCCAGGAGGGAAGAAAAAAACTAAGAATGAGAATGTCAAGAGAAAACTCTGGGCCAGTAAGAGGAAGGATTAAGTAAGTCAAACATTATCCATAAGGGTGCAGACCAGGAGGATGAGGCTGGGCTGAATGCCTAGGACAAGACCGGGTCAGGAAAATTCTAAAGGATCAGTAGCTTGGAAGACCCGTTATTTTTGGAACAGCCAGGAAGAACATTGTCTCTTCAGAGACTAGGGGTTAAGAGAAAGTAACTGATGATCTGAGAGAGTGCAGAACTCCAACATCAGACTTAAAGACTCTTCAGGTCTACTGCATGGCTACAGACTACTCACATCAGAGGTGAAGGGCTCAGAATCTGAAGACTGGCTGCCTGGGTTCAGATCATGGCTCCATGACTAGCCTTGGGACCTTGGGCAAGTGATCTAACCATACTGTGCCTCAGTGTTCTCATCTGTAAAATGGGCATGAAACCTAAAGCTACCTTATAGGAATGTTGTCAAGATTAAAAGAGCCAATATATGGAAAGCCTCTTGAACAGGGTCTGGCATCTGGTACGTAATAAACAAATGTTGGTTTATTTACTTAATTTTTGCTGCAGAGTGGGATGTTTCCACGACTTGCTGCAAAGTCACTTCATTCTCCTGATTGAGAGGATTTAGGGGCAGGATTTCCTATATAAGGTTGGAATCTGTCACCTTTTTGTTCCTTGGGTGGGGTTGGGGGAAACTTCTGGCCACTGGCAGTGGTGCCTCGAGTATATCACCAAGGCTGCAGCTGCCCTTCCTCATTTCTGAGGTGCCACTGCAAGGAGCACCAGATGACCCCAGGACTGTCAGGCAGGCCAGCACTGCAGGAAGCCATATGGAGTTTCCTTTGGGGAATCTGCCACACCATTCTCCTCTTGCAGTTACTTTAAATGTACTGCTAAGTAATCCTAACTTGAAGGTAGTTGTTTTTTGATACCAGAATATTAAAAATGATATATTTTTACTTTTCCTGCCCTTTTACAGGCCCAGATTAAGTTGCACTTAATTCTCCCTCATGTGTTTCTGTTTACCCTTCATTAATTATGCATTTTTAACTTTTCTTCCAAACCTTATGCAAAATGCTGTTTGTTTCACATGTCTACAGCTTCCCAGAATTATCATACATAGGAAAATATGGTGCTTCCACATCCATATTTACAAGTAAAAACAGCACTTTAATAGATTCCACAATACTTAAGAGCAAAAGCCACACCCTTCCAATGCTCCCTCTCGCTCTCTACACCCGAGCTCCAAGGACTCACTTTCTTTCCATCTACAAGGCAAAATATTAATCCAAAGTGGTCCAAATAATCTGGCTAGTTGATGAGACACTAATATTTCTGGAATGTTTAAACTATGATTTAGAGAAGGAGCAATCACTGTTCATTGACGATGCCCCATTTCTCAATTCAATCGCGGACGGAGATTTACTTTATAGACTGGGGGAGAAGACAATGCCATCAACCAGGTCAGGAAGACTCATCACGAGTTGCTATTAGGGAGGCTGTGGGGGAGGACAGTCAGGAAAGGAGACTGGTGTGTCTGAGGAAGGGGCACAGACTGGCCTAACGTGACAAGTTTCTCCTGCTGCTTCCTCCAAACAGTCTGAGGTCTTGATAGAAGTTTCAGACTGCATATTTTTTTTTTTTTTTTTTTTTTAGCTCTGTTGATAACATTTCAAAAGCAATCTTCCCAGTAAATACAAGGAAGTTATATCTGGAATTTTAAAATGAAATATATGAGCTGTTGACTTTTAAAAAAACAAAAACTCATTAGGTTAAGTTCTTATCCCACAATGCTCCCTTCCTCTGATTTTGATACAATTTTGGAAACCTTTCTGTGACTTCCTGAGTGTACAAAAATAGCTTTCAATGGAGACCCAATCCAAGGGATGGTTTTTATGACTGATTAGGTCTTAAAGAATGACACTATGATTATAAAGCTTAAACACATTTTTTGAAAGCATTTTTCCTAAAGTTATGATATATTCTAAAGGTTCTGGAACATCAATAAATTTTATAATTCAGTTGTGATATTAATATATATATTCTTCTACATGGCCAAATAAGATAAACGTCACCAAAAAAAATCCCAAAATAATATCTGCCTTTCTCAAAAAGTAAATTTCTTTATACACACACCACACACACACACACACACACACACACACACACACACACACACACAC